TGGCGCTGGGCGCTGTGAGCCCCCGCAGCCGACGGCCGTGCCGAGGGGTGGAGGGGCACCGCGCTCCCCGGGTCCTGCAAACCGGGCACGGCCTTGGTTGTGTTGGTGCCGCTTCCAGCCGTGGCTTGTATCCAGTGCAATACAAAATAGAAATAACTGTTCTCCAGTTTACTGGTAACCTTCGACTTTTGCATAATAATTAATCAGTTCAGAGTTGCAGCTAACTGAAATTGTATATTAAATCTGTCTCCCATACAGCAGTGTGTCCCTCGCTGTAGCAAACTGTAGACCTTTTCTTTTCCTCCATCTGCCTCTAAGCAATGAAAAGTAAAGGTTAAAATGCTGCTCATGAAGGGAGTGGTGTTTGTTGTTCTTTTTCTCGAAGGAATAACATGTGGCAGTGCTATGCACTTCTATAGTGCGTCTATTCTGGGATCTCAAAATATCATCGGGCTGTTAATTAATTAAAGCCTGTCAACACCTTCATGAGCAAAGGTGGTGGTTTTTATCAGATAGCCAAGTGCTTTGAGCTGTTTCGTGGTGCTTTATGGGGAAGGAAGGGAAACCTCGATGTTTCAGAAATGAGGCAGACATGAGCAGAGTTTGGAGGTTCTGGGGCGGGTGAACACCCTGCGGATGGGGAAACTGAGTCAGAGCAAGGGTGAGTGACTACAGCGAGTTGGGGAGAGCTGGGAGTCAGAGCTTGGGCCCGTGCCCCATCCCTGGGAGGTTTTCGCCCTTGGCTTCTGTTGCTGATGGTGTTATCCCAACCTCAACACAGCACCTCCAACCACGGCTGAGCAGCCCAGCGCGGGGCAGCTCTGGGGCTCATCCACCCGTGTTCATTCCTTTGTGTTTGCAAAAGCTCTCAGTAAGGTGTTTTTGAAGGTTACCTTCCAAAGGAAAACATTTGCTTGAGAAAACTGAATAAAGGCTCCAAAAACTCAGGCTCTGGCCAGGAGCCAGGATAATGTTCCCTGATCTTCTGTAGTGCTCATCATCTTTGCTGTATTCCCCGAGTCTGAGGTGGATTTTTGTTATCGCTTGCCTTTTCTGGCTATGAACTACGCTCACCTTCTCGAACCTGGCTGTCATGGGGACAACAAAGTGTCTTTTAAATTAAGCCTCGGGTTTTCATAGTCTGGTACATCATCATGTCAAACCTTGATGCTGCGCTAGGCAATGGATTTTAATGCTGCTGTCTGGTTCTTCTCCGCTACCCAACCAAAGGGGCTTTAGGGCATTTTTGGGGTTGCATCAGCCAGGCAGAGGTGTGAGCTGAGCAGGGTGCAATAAGGGTGGCTTGGGGGTGCGCAGTGGGGACCATGCACGATGGTGCTCCCCTGAAGCAGGCACCGTGCCTCCCCCAAAATCTCTGCAGTGGTTTGGGGGAGGCAGGGCCCGCAAGGAAACGACCGTTTTGGGAGATGTCTTTTGTATCTGCCCTGTTGTGCCTTATTGTGCCCTCGGGGGTGATTTTGCTGCTCCTCCAGCAGCCGGGCTCAGCTCTGCACCCTCCCCAGCAGCAGACCCAGCCTCCCTCATTGCTGCTGAGGCAGCTGGAGCCGGCGCTCCACCAGCCTGTGAACAAAAAGCTGCTTTTTCCCTGTGTTATTTTGGATTACTGCAGCATTTCTCGCTCTCATGGGGAACCCGCATGTGCAGAACTGGTGGGGTCTGTGTTGCCGTTGAGTTTGGCTGCTGAGGCTGAGCCACCCCTAGGTTTTGACCTGACTTTGTGCAATTTTGATGGGCAAAGACCTGGGGTGGGGTGGAGGGAAACCAGCATTGGGAAGTGTCTGTGTGTTTTTGGAAAGCGTATGTCTTTGCAAAAGCCTCTCAGTGCACAAACAGCCCTGCTGTTGGAAGGAAAACCCAGTTTGGTAGCTGGTGCCATTGCCAAGATCATCCCAAAGTCAGCTGCTTTTTCCATCAAGGCTGTTTGTGTTGGCATCCCTCAGATAAGTCAGCAGGGCCGGGCTGGATTCTGCCTTTGCCTCCTGCTGCTCCTGGCGTGTGTGGGGCTCCTGTAAACAGCGATGACATTCCCCATGATTTGCACCAAGGTTGGTGATGGCCGGACCCTTTTGATGGATGATTGAGGCCCTTTGATAAAGGGCAAAAGAAATGAGAAGCTCTTGCCAAGCTATGCAGCTTCTCTTCTCAGACTTCTGTTTCCTCCTTTTTTTGCCATGGCTGATTTTCTTGGAAGGTAATATGCTGTCAACATGAGTTCTCCCCTCTCCTGTCAGTATAATATAGTTGGGGACAGCCCTCCTTATTCCTCTAGTGCAAGCATGGCCACAAAACCAAGTTCATCAATCAAATTCACAAAACCTTCTACAGCACAGCCCTATCTCGCTCAAGGCCTTTCAGGCTCTTGCCTTGAGGTTGTTTAATTTTCACAGCAATGTGCCCAGGTACCGGCTGTGCCCGTGTGTCCTTTTGGGCTCTGATGGCTCCTGGTGAGCCGCGTCCATCCATGCTGGTTGGCTGCAGGGAGAGGGCAGGAGTGGGGCAGTGCTTATGGATAGTCCCCATCGGCCTGGAGGAACTCTGTCCCATCGCATACATGCCAGCAGGATGGCAGCGTTTTGAATGGGAATTTGACTTGTAGCACCCATCGCTTCCCAGCCAAAGAAGTTCAGCTCTTGACTAAGCTGCTGGAGCATCGGTGTGGACCCGGCGCGCAGCCGGTGTTGGTTCTGGCTGCGATGCTCCTGCAGCACGAAGGTGGTCTCCACGCAGAGCAGCTCCTTGCTGCCGTGCTGGACCTGCCCTCAGCGCCTCACATCGCCGTTGGAACTGATACAGTGCTTGTTTCGTTTCCTTAATCAAGTCTAGCAGGTCTAATGGCACTGCGCGTAATGAGCTTTGAAAGGTGAATTTGTTTTGATGCGTGTTTGACAAACTCCGAAGTGCTTTTGCTCAACAAGTTTTCATGGCTCCCGTGGCTTGGAGAAGCCCAAGTGCCCAAATCAATAAGGTTCCGCTTGGATAATTGAGATGGGAATTTGGCTCGTTATGTGAAGTGGCTGCTGAAGTAGATAATTGCAGATCTTAAAGTGTTTGTCCTATTTGCTAGTTTAGATTGAAGAAAATTCAGGTGCAATTTCACAGGTGTGTAGGTACAACATTACTTCTGTGGGGATACTGTGCATGTATTGATAGAGTAACAAAGCTAAATAACTCATATTTCTTTGTGTGTTGGAAGAAAACAGGTGAAAAGTCAAAGTTCTGGGGGTTGTGGAACAGCTGGGTGCTGCAGCCTGGCTGGCTGTTGGTTAGAGACATCCTGCGGCTTCTGCATGGTCCCTCTTTGGGGAGAGGGGGACCCTTCCTCCCATGGGGCTTGTAGCCTTCCCTGAAAAGTCAACCTATAATTGTGTTTTTATGTTCAGTGAATGTGTTAGGCAGATCGTAGAGCAGTTTGCCTTCCTGTTGTGCTGCAGGCCACCGGCAAACGTGCCCAGGGTAAGGGCTGCTCCCTGGGAAGGACGGACACTGGGGAACCTTTACAGTGCTGCTGTGATGTGGGAGACCTTGTGGCTTGTGTTTCCAAAGGTGCTGAGGGCTTCAGTGTGGTCTGACTTCAGCAGATTACTTGTGTATTCATAAATTAATCTTTATTCAATCACTGGGTTTTAAGTATGTTTCAATCCAGGTACCTGCTGAGGTCCTATCCGTTGGATTGGGGCACAAACATGCAATATCAATGTTAAATGATCTGAAATGTTTGTGCTGATTTAGAGGATTAGTGTTGCATCTTCTTGATATGATTTGAGATTTAAGTCAAGTTTTCTTGGGATGAGGAGCTGGCCTCACTCCTCTCTGTGAAGCTCCCTGAATACTGGCTTTTCTCAGGGAGTAATAAATACCAGTGGTTGCGTAAAGCCCACAATGCTTTCTACAAAAAATCCTTGTTTATAATTCACTGTTGGCAGAAAAAGACTTTAAGTTATTAAGGCACTAAATATTTTGCAATGAAGGAACGGAGATAAAGCTCTTGGCAGAAACAAATTGCCGGGGAGAGGTTGTTCTCTTCAGTGCATTTGGTGCTTTAAAGTATTATGAGAAATAATGTGTGGGGGAACTGGGAATTCATCACTCAATCCAAAGATTTGCTTCCTTCTTAGAAAAGCACCTGCTCGGTGCATGCTTTCCATAACCCCTGGAAATGAGGAGTGTCCCCACAGCACACGTGTGGGTCCCCAGAGCTGTCCCCACTCCCCACGGGGCTGAAGGTGGCCCGCTGGGCTTTAGGTGGTTCGGGGCAGCAGCCAGGTCTTTGTCCTGGCCCCAGCTCCACCACCCCAGTTGTTAAAGCTGCTTGCATGTGCTCAGTGCTCCCCTGAGGGCAGATTTTGAGGGGAGCTTGGGCTGCTGCAGGGGGGCCCCTGCCCTTGGCCCCAATGCCTGGAGCTGCCCCAGCTCCCGGTCGGGGGGTTCTGTGTCTGTTCTCCAGGAGCGTGAGGAGCTGGTGCCAGTTCATCGTGTAGGTGTGTTGGGCATGTCCCGTGTCATAACAACCAACCCGTTGGTAAATCAGGGCTGTTCCAGTGGTGGGAAATGGAGGAGCTTATAATTAGTGATTTTACCACCTGTTGCTGATTTTATACAAATATTACACCAGCTAGCACTTGTCAGCTCCTGGAGTCATGTAACCGGACAACCATGGGTGTGTATATGTGTTTGTATATATACAGACATTATTATATGTATTTAAGTAGGTATACCCATAATCTTCTAGCTCCTTTCTGGAGAGGGATTTGTAACATAAACCATGGGGGATTCAAACCCCAGAGTACTCCCAACATTATTTTTTTTTTTATCATCTCAACATTTAAGGCAAATATCATCCATACAGCGCCGCTGTTTCCAACCTGGGGTAAACGGAAGGAGGGCAGCCGTGCTGTGACGGTGACGCTGGCCCCGCTCGGGGTCTTGCCCGGCGCCGTGCCCCCAGCACAGCGGTTTCAGCTTCTCTTTCCCCTTTGCAGGAGACCTGTGCAACTGCAGCGCCGTGGGGAGCTCCAGCACGGCCGAATGCAACAGCACGACGGGCCAGTGCCCCTGCCTGGATGGCTACGCGGGGCTGCGGTGCGAGAGCTGCGCCCAGGGCTTCTACCCGGAGCAGCAGAGCCAGCGGTGCCGTCCCTGCGGCTGCAGCCCCGCCGGCTCCACCAGCGCCCAGTGTGACCAGTGAGTAAGGGAGCATTTCGCTGAGCCTCCCTGGGGCAGGGGGTGGGGGGGGTGGGGGGGTGTGCGCGGCATTGGGATTTGGGGATATTTTGGGACTGGGGGATGCAGGTCGGGCAAGAGTGGATCTTGTCATCTGGTGCTAGTATTTATTAAAAAAAAAAAAAAAAAAAAAAGAGAAAGCAGGAAGGAAGCTGGCCTTATAAAAATTCATGAAGCATATTCTTCCTCTCTTTCAAGATCTGGATTATAAAAATATCCATAGCTGTGGCAAAAGCCCTGGCAGCCCACAAGGGAGTTAACTTGTATTTCTGAGCTTTACAGAAGCAGAACCTCTCCTCTAATGCCTTGTGCATCCCCTAGTCCCTAGCAGAGGGGACTGCCTCCTGAGCTCAGGAGGGGAGCGGAGGAGCTTTGGAGAGGTTTGTTTTCCAAAGGGATATTGGTTACACCTGAGGCAGGCCAGGCTCTGTGCTCTGCCCTTGCTGAGCAGCTCCTGCCTCACCTGGTGTTTAACCCTGCCACCTCCTCTCCTTCGCTGCATTAAGAAAGTCGCTGTAGCTGATTCTTTGAGCTCTTGTATAATGAATGTGTTCCTCTTCATTTCACCTCACCCACCTTCACATCTTCCCTTGTATAAGCCAGCACGCAATTACTCTTTTTCCCAACCAGCGATCCGTCAGTCATTAGAGATTTGTTGCCAGAGTTGAGGGTGTCTCTGTATTCCTGCAAAGGGTCTAAGCAGCAGCCTGAGCCTTTGGGGTCTCCTGCTCGTGTTCACAGGACAGTGAGTTGCAAGGTCTCTCCTCGGAGGAGACACACCCCCCCCCCCCATCAAACCACCCTGCAGCAACTTCCAGCCTCCCTGGGCTCCCTTCTCCTTCTGCCACCAAGAAGTCGGCAGCAAAAGTGTTCCCAGAGCCCCTGGCCCTTCTCCCGGGCCCCGCAAGGGAAGCGATACCTGCGCGTGGATGCAGTTGGCTTCGCTGCACTGTTGCCTCGTGCTGGCATCAGCCTTGTTGTCTTTTAGGGTTTGGTCCAGGCTTGGCATGTGTTGAACACCTGCACTTTCCTGCCAAGGCTGGGGCTGAGTCAGAGTCAAAATGTTCTGCAGGGACATGCTGTTTGTAATTATATTATACATTTCTTTTTTTTTTCCCCCAAACACCCAAACACTCTGTTTATGTCCTTCCTTTTTTGTTTCAATGCTGCATTTTTCTGCTTGCATAAGCTCTGAAAAATCAGAACTTAAAAGCAGTGCTCCAGTTGACTAGAGTGACCTTCTTACTAAAAAAGGTGATTCTTGGAGGTGTAGAGTGAGAGTTTTTCACTTGATTTTTTTAGAGTTGTTATAGGTATGGGAAGATGTGCCTGGAAGGATCAGGGTTTGGCACAGACTATAAAATCTGAATTTGGTCAGATCTGCTGGAAAGGCAAATTGGACAGAAAGGCACATGGGGCAAATCTTGTCTTTGAGGGCTGGGAAAGGAGGGAGGTGCTGCTGGAGCAACTGGGTTAACTGGGATGGAGCATTCTTGTACTGACTCTGAGTCACCAGGCAGCAGGCGAAGCGTGGATGTGGGTGATGTCTCCCCACATCTCGCTGCGTGGAGGAAGCCAAGAAATGCCCTTGGGAACTTCAGGTGAAATGCTCCAAGTCGTGAAGGAGAATGAGATGGAGTTCATGCACGTAGCGAGCCATCGCGCCCAACCCAGAAGTGGCAGAGGACCTCCCTGGCTGCTCCTCTTCAGCAGCATTTACAGCCTTGAGGGATGTGGGAGGTGCCTCAGGCATTTAGAAGAGGCAGCATGGGGCACAATTTGGGGGAAGATTGGAGAGGAGGGCAGCTGTTAAGAGAGATTGCTCTGTGTTTCTCTTCCCTGCGCAGTGGGGTTTGCTGCAGATGGAGATGACCTCTGGGTGTTTAAAAAAGGAAAATTCGGTCAGTTGTCTGTGGTGTGGGGCTGGGGGCATCAGTATGGCTGCGAGATGGGTCGCCTCGTGCATAGCGATGTGTATTGGAAAATGAAGTGGGTACAAAATCCTTTGGGGCAAGAGCAGGAGGGAGTGTGTCCTTGCATTGGGGTCTGTCCTGACGGGTGGGAGAACCTCGGCTGCATAGCAAAGAGATGTTTGTGTGAAGCCAGGAGTGAGATTTTTGGCTCTTGTTCTGGAAATGTTGGGTCTGGAGCTCTAGGCCTACTTGCCGGCGAGGCCCTGGATGAGTGGTGCATGTCCCTCTGGGCAAGCCCTGCTCGGGATGAGACGTGCAAGTGTTGCCCAACACCAGCAACCAGCTTCTGTTCCGTTGACATGAAGAATACTGTAAGCTGTATTTTTTTTTTTTTTTTTTTTTTTTAAAGCACCAGCCCTGCTCTAACTTGCACAAGTTAATTCCTGCGTGTTGGCTTAAGAAAAAAGCAACTGCTGTTCAGATGAGTCTGAGTAAAACAGCAGCGTAATTTTGGACTCTGACCCTTTTTGACAGTGCCTGGTTTGAGAGGCAGACTGCCTGAAGGCTGAGCTCTCGAGGCACACAAAACATGCCTGATAGCTTTCAATCAGCTTCCCCAGGCTTTTGTAAAATGGCCTTTTAAAGCACCACCATATGATGATTATTAGTATTATTTCTAGTCATGCTCTGTGGCTGGCCAGATGGCACACCCAAGTACACTGTTTATTAACTAGACCTCAAATGCAGACCATCAAATAAAAATAAAAAAAATCCCTTTCCTGAGGCAGACAGTTGATTTTGGGAGTGAACATTGACCTGACATGTTGTCGCTATGAATGGACTCCATGGTTGCTAATCAAAGGTCTGGTTTAGTGGTGTTTTAAATTTGATTATCTGGGGAGATCCATGCAGATCCCCCTCTGGGATGGCAGAAGATTTCCATGCTCTGGTTTGGGTGATTTTTTTTGTTTTGGTTTTTTTTTTTTTTGTTTTTTTTTTTTTTTTTTTTTTTTGTTAGTTGAAAAGCTGTGTGTAGTTGAAGCTGGAGCTTGCTGCGGGGCTGGATGATATCCTGGGCTGCGCGGAGAGGGCTGACACGTCTCGGAGAGGGGGAGTGTGTTGTCCCTGTTGTGGTAACGCCTAGAAACCTCAGATAAAACCACATTTCACTGGGTCGGGTGCTGTGTAGATACTTACTAAAGATAGCTATGGCCTGGAAGTGTTCATAGTCCATAGAGGAAGGGTGGAGAAAGAAGCTGAAGTTTCAAGGGCCGTGGTCAAGGTCACAGAGTAGTGAAGGAGGACAGTGACTCATGTGGGCGCAGGGCTGAGCTAGAAGGGCTGTGCTGCCGCTGCAAAGCCCTGGGGATGGTCCCTGGGAGAGGGAGGGTGGCTGGTGGTGGCCCCAGCCCGTGGTGACGTGACCCCGGCCAGGAGCTGCCCCCCCACCAGCTACATCTCTCACTGTCTTTTGCGCACCTCAAGTTGAAAGCTGTTTTGTCCACCTGTCTGTCCTTTGAGGAAGCAAGAATGTCCCCATCTGGTGGAGGAGTCAAAGGGGAAGGTGATGCTGGTGGAGAAGGTCACCATGCCCAGGCTGGCCAGCCCACATCTCCCAGGCTTGCACCCCTGTGCATTTATTTTTAATTTTACTTTACGTGAGCAGAGTCCTGTGCCTGAACTCTCATCTCCTACTCCCTATGGCCAGGCAAGGAGCCAAGCCAGAGAGGGCCTCGGGGGGGAGGGTCGGTGGTCTCCAGCCCTCCTGGCCAGAGGTTCCTCGCAGTGTTTCTGCAGTTCCTGGCACACCCCCTGCCCTCCTCACCCTGCGGTGTGGCTTTGCCCAAAATGCCACTCGTGCCCCCGGCTGACTCGTGGCAGGGCGAGCCGGCCCAGCGGCTGTTCCCCACGGCAGCCCCGGGACATGGTGGGGTGCTTCCTGGGCGAGAGGAACCCGGTTTGGATGGAGGGAAGCCTTTCCCTGCTGCAAAGCAGCAACCGTGCACCGACACGAGGAGCTGCACAGGCTCAGCTGTTTTAAATGCGTGCAGAAATAATTTTCCTGTGTAAACCTGTCCTCTGGCTGATTCATTTAAATGAGCAAGACTGCGCGCAGGCAGAGCCTAGCCTGAAAGAGGCACTCTGTGGTATGCTGCTGGTGAGTAGGAGATTCCAAATGACTCTGCATTTCTTTTATTTATTTATTTTGACCTTGCTAGCGGCACTGGCCAACACAAACATGGGTAAAAACTGGCCAAGGGTAGCCCAGGGTGACCCAACGATCTGGGATCTCCTCCGCTGTGTGCGGTGCAGGGCTGTCCTGCCCATCCCTGCCCCTTGGCGTGGGGAGGGAGAGGTGTTATTACTTTGATTTACCTCTTGCAAGGCATTCACGCGAGGTTTTCCTAGCCCAGCATGCAGGATGTTGTGGCTTTTCTCCGAAGTGTGGCCCCACAGCCTCAGGGACAGCGTGTTTAGCCCACGAGGATCTGTCCCTGTGTGGGTGCTCTTGTACCCCACGATCTGGGATGTGAGTGGAGGAGGAGGGCTGCGAAGCAGAGAAGGTGCTGTGAGATGCTGCTGCCCGGCAGGAGGGTTCAGCCCCCAATTCCCTGTTTCCCTAGGAGATTTTGTGTTTTAAACGAACTTACCCTGGTTGTAGGTAATGCACCCTTCAACTTCTGTTCGCTTGCTAGAGAGCAAGAGGAGAGCTGCAGCTGCGTTGGGAGCTTAAGGATTCCCATGTGGTATAGCTAAACCTGGGTTAACCATCTAATCTGGGTTAGGTTTTTCCAGTTCCCTTAAAAAAAGCTCTGAACTGAATACATAATACACTATCATTGTCCCTGAGGAAAACAGATACATGTGAACTTGGGGTCTGTGGATCAACTGAAGTCACTCCCTCTGCCTGTGCCTCCGTTTCCCCACAGGCAGGAGGGCCCTGGGAAGCCGAGGCTGCGCCGCAGTGCTGGGAGGTGATGTTAGCTTCGGTTCATGTCCGGTGCTGAAACACTCTGCCCAAGTGTGCAGCACTCCTCTCCTTCGCTA